TATAGTCAGTCTTTTTAGCCATTCTCATTGGTGTGTAGTGATACTTCATGTGGTTTTAATTTGCATTTCCCTAATGACTTAGGATGTTGAGCATCTTTTCCTGTCCTTATTAGCCGTCTGTATATCTTCTTTGATTAAATATCTGTTTAGACCTTTTTCCTGTTGTTTTTGTTTGTTTGTTTTTATTGAATTTTGAGAGTTCTTTGTATATTTTGAGTGCAAGTTTTTTTAATCAAATATAGTTTTAGGTTTTACTTTTAGATCAAAGATGCATTTCAAGTTAATTTTTGTACATGGTACAAGGTATGGATCCAAGTTCATTTATTTTGCGTATAGATGTTTAGCACCATTTATTGAAAAGGCTATCCTTTGTCCATTGCATTGCCTTGGTGAAAAATCAGTTGTTAATATATACCAACTTGCATTTTAACATTATTGTGAGTTGGGGTCTCTTGACGGATCAGATGGGGTAATTCAGGGTTGTATTCTGATATTCTCTTTATATTTTTAAGTAAATTATTTAATAAAATACAACCTAAATACAGAATAGTGCACAGATTCTAAGTGTAGAGCTTGATGACTTTTCACAAAGTAAAACACACTCATGTAACTACCACCTAGATAGAAAATAGGACATTACCAACACAGGGGCCCTTCTCATTCTCTTTTCTAGTCACTGTCCTTTCTTTCTACAGGTGATTGCTATCTTCCCTTCTCACCATTGATGAGTTTTGCCTTTTTATAGAAATGGAATTACATCTGTCTACTTTAGCTTAATGTTGTATTTCTGAGATTTCACTCATGTTGTTGAAAATAGTATAGTACTTGTTGCTGTATATTATTTCCTCTCTGGATATACCACAGTTTATTAATTCATTTTACAGTTGTTAGACATTTGGGTGGTTTCTACTTTTGGTTATTAATGCTATTTTGAACATTTTTACTCATTTTGATGCAAATACGTATTTTCTATTAGATATATTCCTAGGAGTGGAATTGTTGGTCATTGTGTATGCATATGTTCAG